TATATTCACGATATCCATAAATTTTTATCAACTTTTAAATTCTAAATTTTGTTAATTTTTTTTAATTAAAATCCGCTAAATTTTTTATCAAAAGATATTTTAAACAACACCTACATGTCTAATCTTATATTTATCTAGGGCATGTTTGTGCCCACTAAATTTCAAAAAGTGTATTATAGAATAGTGATTGATGTTGAAATGTGTGGTTAAAAAAGAATGAAATTTTTTTTATTTATGCATAATATTATTTTAATGAAGAATATGTGATTGAAAATGAGAATTATAGAAAAAATAATGTGATGGAATGATTGACAAACAAAAGCTTAAATATAGTGAAATTTTGAGCAAACTCGATCAAAATGAGTCTATTGTACTAACTCATTTATCCAAACACTTCATTCATTATTCTCCTAATTAGTATACATGATTAGATAGTTTAGTCAATATTTTGAAAAATAAGGAAAAGTTCTGGAAAAATAAAGTGAAGAAAAATTTTCTTCCTCAAGAAAAGGTATTGTTTTGGATTATGAAAATGTAAGTAGCCAGTAGGAGACTATTGTTTAAAAAAATATATATATATATTATTATTTTCTTTTTTCCGTCACTATATTTTGGTTATTAAAAAAAAAAAAATCCTCTATTGGAATTGATAGTGCTTATTACATATGAAAATTTATAAACAATGATTGCAATAGAAATCATGTCATCCACTCTTCCTACTTCAATAATCAAGTAATTTTTTTTTTTATTATTCTTAAACATAGTATCATCAATTCAAAACGCAATTAACATAATAATGATATGTTGCACTTCATTGTATCTTGGAAATGATTTGTTGGAACTCAATAGGTTACTTTAATTGGTGAATGGTGATGATGAACAGTATATGAGATTAGAAAAGTGACGTGGTTATCCATCTTGAAACTTATCTATGCTTTTTAGCATGAAATCCAAAATTTATTTCAACAAATACAATCAACATCAATCCTATAAATCTTTGGTGTAGAAATGCAATAAACACGACGACTACATCATGCCAAATCCTCTTCAAAGACTTTTGACTATATTTTGATTATTTAAAAGTCAAATGATAAGCGTCTTTTACACACTTCTTTATACTTTTAATCTCGATAAATTTTAACTTATTTGAGCAAATTTCTACTTCATTATGTGAAATTTTGTGGCTTGTAGACAAATATCAAGTTTGAGCGCAATTGGTGCAAAAGTTGGTCATTTTGAGCTTAATTGAAGATTGATTCAGGCTCTTGAAGATCATTCGGGGTTCAATTAGTGAATCAAAAGAACTTATTGGAGCAATTGGATGAATTCATGAGATTAAGCACGAAAAATTGACAATTGAAAAGTTTGGGGATAAAAATAGATGTTTTTGGAAAGTTGAATGACTAAACTGCAAAAAGTTGAAATTAGGCCACTGATGGACCTCAGTTTGCAAACCGGCGGCCCACCCTGCCGCTATTTTCCCTGCATGCCACAGGTAGGTCGTGGATTTCCAACCTGCAGGCGGTCCGATTGGGGGATTTTTCATGTTTTTTAATTTTCTTTTCATGTTTTTTAGTTTATCTTGGATGAGAACTCTTCTAAAATGTATAATGCTATATAAAGACTTGAATTGGAGGAGAAAAGTGGTTAAATTACTTGAGAATTAGAGAGAAACACATCAAAAAAAAAAAAAAAAAAAAAAAGGAAAAAAAAAAAAAAAAAAAAAAAAAAAAAAAAAAAAAAAAAAAAAAAAAAAAAAAAAAAGGCATGAAATCAAGATTTGAAGCTTCAATTTGGGTAAGAAGAGTATTTCGGTGCAAGATTCATCAACATCTCCAAATCTTAATTCAATACCCGGTGATGCACTCAATTTTTCTTTCATCCATTATTCGTAGCTAAAACTTTTGTTAAGGCAAATAATGTAATTTATTGTGACCCTTTAATTCAATTTTCAAGATTCTATAGTTCTCAAATTTATTCGTGTTGATTTTATTTATTATGTTTAAGGTGTGACTTACTTGGGAAATAATTTAATTACTGGGGCAATAATTTATTGATCTTGTGAATCTACTATGAGTCGTCATGTGAGTTTTAAGCTTCGACCAAGTAGTAAAATCCGAAAAATAGTATAAAAGCGTAGAGATACATTTTCAAATTAATGTGGTCGTTACATAGATTTTTAGAGACTTAAGGCATTTAACTAAAGTGTATTCGAATTAACATAGATATATCGAATTGACTTAATTAAATAGAATCAATTTGTACTCAAGAGAGATAAATTAAATGCGTTAGAAGAATTTGACTAAACACGATATTATGTTATGAATCTTGAATAGAAAATTAAATGTGATTGATAAATGAAATTGTGTGCCCTAATATCGCTTTCATATTTAAAAACCAAATTCAATTTTTGTGTGCATCCAATACTATTCAAGTTAGTATAATTTAGACCAACAATCTTATATCATAAACTGTTTCATAAAATAGAAGTAGAAATAGTAAATTAGGAATAAATAATAGCCTCTACAAGAATGATTATCATGATTTAAAGGTTTATTATATTGCTTGTTTGATATCGTATACTTGCAATAAAAAAAAAACTAAAAAAACAAGTTTTTAGTGTTGTTGTCTGGAACTATTTACATTTAATCTTAGTTTATTTTATTTTTAACTTTTATTTGGTTAGTTTAGTTTTCTTTCTTACAAATAAAAATGTGTTCATTGTATGCTTCATCCTCAAGGTAACAATCTTGAACCCTTTGATCCAAAAATAGAATGTACCTTAAGACGAAGACTCAAAGAACAAAAGCAAAAAACAAAAACATGAAATGGCAAAGAACAAAATATTCCTATACTTCTAGCTGGACAAGGAGCTGCTAGAGTAGCGACACCACAAATTCAGCAACGGAACAAGTTGAGATTGATGAAAGAGACTTGCTAGTGTTAATTTTTGTAACTCCTATAGTAGCATCCGAAAGTTCGATTATTGTATATCCAGATTTTGAATAAAATAACTTTCATATAAGGCTTATTGGATCAACTTGACCGCAACACTCTCTAGTTCTACAGGTTATCTCGAGAAAACCCGAACACATATATCTCAAGATTTCTTCAAAATTTCCAATGCTTTCATGCTCTAGGGGTTAATGAAGATGCAATCAAAATTGTTGTTATTTTCATACACATTAAGAGATGTAGCTTTGGAGTTGTTGGATTCTGAGCCTCAAGGCAATATCACTAGGATTTGATGAGAAAATTTTGTAATAAATTATTTCCACCTACAAAAGTAGCAAAAATTACGACTCAAAATCCAAACATTCCAACAACTCGATGAGGAAAGTTATCATGACGCTTGAAAGAGATTTGAGAAGTTGATGAAAAAGTGTCCAAATCATGGAATAATAGGGAAAAGTAGGTACAATATTTCTACTCCGGACTTTCTCCACTAGCTGAATCCCAGGTGGATTCTTCTACAAACGAGTCTATAATTGGTAAATCAGTTCAACAATGTTAGGAATTATTTGAGTTGATTGCAACTACATATTCCATGTTTTCATCAAAAAAGAGTAATCTCAAAGAAAACAGTTGGAATTCATGAGTTAGAAATCACAACATCTACTAATGCACATATTGCTACTTTGACAAAGTAGGGAAAGTTATTGATAAAATCTTAAACACATAAAGCACATGTAGTGATGGTCACTTCTATATGTGAGAATTGTGGAGCCAATCGTGCTACTAAAAATTGCTTATTGTTGGTTTCTCCAGAGGAATAAGTAAACTAATTCAGAATGGTTCCTATAATTTCAACCCATCTGGACATGCATATAATCCAGGATAGAGGTAACACTCGAACTCCAAATGGTTTGATAATTAGCAAAAAGCTTTTTAGAGTAGTTCAAATCATCCCCAACAAGAGAGAGAACAAAGTTTGGGAGATACGATTCAGCAATATATGCAAAAAATTGACAAAGTATTTCAGCAATTGATACAAATTTTCAAAATCAATGGACGGGTTTGGTCTCCCTACAGGCAGCGTTGTGTGAGGCGGAGATGGTTTAGTCTCCCGTGAAGCTCAGACGTGTTTAGTCTCCCACAAAGTCCGATGTATGAGGGAAAGATTATTGAGGTTGTCCTACGTCGGTTTTGGATGAGATTGGTATTCAGTTTATAAGTGTGAGGAAAAGGCTCATCTCTTGAGCTAGCTTTTGGGGTAAGAAAGGCCTAATACCATCCAACACACTTAACATGCTACTTCAAGGAAATTAGTAGATGGGTTAAGTGAATGTACGACCTGTAAGTTTGGTTCTTAATAAAATGATATTATTTCTCGTAGTTGTGTAGTAATTTTGTGTAGTGCATGTTTTTTCTTTTTGTTATTAATGAATATACACAACTTTGATTTCATTGAAGCTTATTTTCTTTTCTTTCTCGCCCATGTAGCTGTTGAGTTGGATTTTAGTACATCTAATGCATCTGCGAAGAATAGCTGTAAAGTTAAACATTATTTGAAATTATAGTTATGCTGTACAAGTTGTCGCTTTTAGGGAAAAGGATACTTGGTTATAATTTTAATGATCTCTTCATAGTTAATTGTATTTGTATTGCTAGCACGTATGACAAAGTTGCTTATTCTTCAAACTCTCTGTTCCTTGAACTTCAACGTCCCACATCGAGATGGTATCTGCGTGATGATTCAATCCTACAAAAATTCATTTGTTTATAGGTCTAATTATGAAAAAGTAAAAAATATTGACACAACCCATTCCGAATCAACCTAATTAACTTGACACGTGTTGTGTGCCGATGGTAGATACCAACTAAATGCAGGATCCACCACCAAGGCAACTTTGACTTACTTTGACTGTGATATATTTTTATAAAAATTTTGACAGAATTTTCCCTGAAGCATGGACTAAACCAACATAAAAATCAACAAAACCTCATATAGACATTTAAACCAAAAATTTTGGGAACCACCAGTTCCACTAATACCACCATAACTAAAACAAAATACAACTAAATTCGATTGAGAACTTCTACTACAAAACATCATTTCTACATCCCAGCATTACATCAATTATAAATCCTTCTACGAAGTGCACATCAAACAAAATATTAAACAAAGTATTTGGTAAACATGAATCCCCAACCATATATTACATATTATGAGACGGTCTCTTGACTTCAGCAGGCTTTCCCAAGTATTTCAAATTTAGCGGTCTCCTGATCAAAAAAATGACAAAATATATGAGAATGTAACTCAGTGAATGGAAATTTTGTAAATAAGTATACTTTTCCCATTTATACATATTTTCTAAAAATTCTAATTTTATTAAATTTTTGAGAAATTCTGAATCTAGTAACATTTTAAAAACTAAGCCTGATTATATTATAAAAATTCTTTGTTCTTAATTCTAGATAAGTAACTGTAAATTATAACGAATATAAAGAATCTGATATTAATAAAAATCTATAAAATATTGTTATTGTTCAATATTGTAAGCTGGAAGTTTTATTCTGAGAATTGAAGAAATTGAACTCTATAATCTGAAATTTGATAAGCTGTAAAATACTGAAAAATCACACCAAAAAGTTACCCAATGAATAGCCTTACTCATATACAGTGTAATCTCGATGTACAAAGCAAGGTCATTCACATATGATAATCTGGTCATACGTATGCAGAGCTATCTCAAAGGCTAATCACCCTAGTACACGGCCCAAAGCCTATGTGTGTACGAAAGTGGATCCCAAAGACCTCTGATAATCTGGTCATACACCATGAAAACACATTCACAATAGTGCAGAGCGAGTAAAATCAGCATAACTGATAATACACTGTAGAAACACATTCACACCGGTTCAAAGTGGGTAAAATAACCATATGTAGTCATACATTGTGGAAACACATTCACACCAGTGTAGACTAGGGTAAAATCACTTGGATACTTTCTGGTAGTTTTAAAAATAACTTTAATTAGACTGAAATATTTAATATTCATATAACTTGCTAATCAAATGATTTAACTGAACTTAATTTAACTTTAAAATAAATTATAAAATCCACTTTATTCTAAAAATCATGTTGTCAAATCAACTGTATGAATTTCATATAATATAAATTTAATAAATACTAATTTCTGAAAAATAAGTTTGTATCCACTCACAAAGTACGAGCTACGAGCTACAAGCTAGACTGCCTAATAAACATTTCCAATCTCCTCATCACCACCTGAAATACGATATTAATAACCAATTTAACCACTATCAAATCAAGAAACCTTAATATCTAATAATAGTACTTAAATTAAATTTCTTAATACTTGAATAAATTTCAAAATTTTCCTTTATCGATTGGAGCTGATTACACTTTATGATCGCTTGACCAATAACTAATTCATCAAAATAACCTTCATTCCAAGCATTAATGTAACTACCCACTTCATTCTAGTGACAACTTGTCACTATGCTACGACCAATTAAATTTTCCTCTTGTTCCATAAATTCATACTTCTAAATAATTATTTCCTCATCACCATCATTTTCATGACCACTACTTAATCCAAAATCCCAAATAAAATTTCTAGGGTTTGCTAAAAATAATATTTATTACCTTGCTAAAATCGGAAATTAAGGAATCCCCAAGGTTGAGCTCCAATTCGTACTTATCTCACCTAAATTGAAAATTTTTACTACAAGTTAAAACCCTAGAAATTTAACTTAAATCATACATTTATCACTTGGAACAAATAGATAAATTAAATTCAAACTTGAAGAGATTAACCCTTACCTCTCTTCTTCTTCCCTTTCTCTTCCTTTCTTTCTTCTTCTTCCATTTTTTTTTCCAGCCTTACTGCTTCTCTGCGCTCTAGTGTGTGAGTGTGTGTTTTGGAGAAAAAAATGGGTCAAAGGTATATAAAGGCCCACTTACTAAAAATTGCAAGGGAAGTCCCTCAACTCCATTTTAATATAACATTTAATCCTTCTAATTTCCCTTAATATAAAAGTAAATTCCCAACTTTAAATTGTATCCAATTAAACCCTCTTATATTGCCAATTATAAAATAAAACCCAATAAAATATTTAGTTTCATTTTAGTCCTTAATTGACTTTAACTTTCACTAGTCAATTTTTGATTTTTGACTAAGAAAAATTGAATTGCAACAAATATACCTGCCAGTGTTTCAATACTTCACTGAAGTGCCATAGCTATTTCAATGTTTTTGTGATTAACTTGTAATTCCTGCTATCAAGACCTTCCGAAGCTCAATAGAGATCCTGAAAGGTTATTTACATTAGTCGTCATGCTTCAGAAAGTAGTCTTCAGCCAGAAAATGTTGTTCGTATGAAACGACGGCGAGGCGAACCAGAAGATAATATACTTTTTGGTCTGTATTATTCCATTCCTCGAATGTAAGCATCCTTTCTGTATGAAATTATTTGTGTGACCCGCTTGATTTAGTTGATGATCATGTGAGATTTAACATCCAATCATTTCTGATTAATTGTAGACCACTTTTTTTGACTGAATATATGGTTAAACACAGATCGGATGATATTCGAACAGTTCTAGCTTCATACCAGGGTCATGATATTTCCAAAAAGTTCATTGAACGATCTAAAGATCATCAAAAGTCGGTAATCTTCTCCATCACATATTTTGTTATAGAATATCAATTGACTGAATAGATTTGCAATTTTTTGTTTAGTTCCTGCTTTCTTATGGCGTGAGAACAATAAAACAGTTGTAATAGTATCAATGGATGTTCTTCATGGTCATGTAGAGGAGTCCATAGATGAGTGATGTTCTTCATGGTCATGTAGAGGAGTCCATAGATGAGTTGAAGGATGAGGTAAATTTCTAACTTTACATCTGTGTAACATTATAATGGGTTTCCATTTCAAAATGATATCACGTGGGTGTAATAAACTTCAATCAGTAATAGTTAGTGTGCAATTTACTAATAAACTGAACAATATATATGGTTTAAAAAGGTCTGCTTTTACTGCCTGTGGTTAGTGATCTGGTAGTTAAAAAATGGTAAGACTTGTGTTTACAATTACTATCCATCAACTTGTTTACAATTATTATCGCAAGTCATAGCAAAAATACTTGAGGATGTTGCTTTTGACTCTGGATTCGACTTGCAGAAGGTTTTGAAAGTTAACACATTCACTTCAAAGGCGAGTGCACTTTAGAATTGATTTTTGTTCTTTTTGTCTAGTTTAAGTGCAAGATGTAACACCAAATAGCTTCAGGAATTTGTAAATGAACTTTAAAATATCACTTGTATTTTAAGCTACTCATGAAGCATTTGACTTATCTGTAGATTGGTCCTGTAACTATATTACCTTTTGCTTCTATTTCGAACTTTTAAGTGATGGAATCTTTTCACCATATATATTCATTCTTATAAGTAAATATTTTCATTACTAAGCTGGAGTGGAACGAAAAGAGGAATAAATTTAAATGAATACCAAAGGTTCGGACAAAGAATCAAAAGTATATAAAAAGAAAATAGATGAAAAGTAAGTCAGATTGAACGAATTTATGAATATCTTTCACGTTCACAAATGAATTTTTCTCATATATATATATATATATATAGTAAAAGAAAAAGTGAATGAAATGTGCACCACACAAATTGCATACTAGGATCATGGAGACGTCAAATCAATTAAACTTTGGGGGCAAAAATGATCTTGACATAGATCATTTTCTGAAATTGGCGGCGGATAATTTGACAGAGAGTCTCGAAATGTACTGCGCCTCGGCTTCAGGGATGAGGGTACTTCGGTCGGTTCAGTAGATTGTCAGTGCCTTGCAGTGCATTAGCAGATCGACAACATTGGTGTTGGCGTCACTTCGGAATCACTTCGGATGGGACCTCGTATGACGCGGTGGTAGACTTTTCGAATTTGTTTAGATAGGGGCGTAACAGTGGTCCCCCCAAGTTTAGGCATGAATATTTATATCATGGGTGTACTTGTTTTCCTGATTGGGTATGTTCGCCTCGGGATAGGGACCATGATTTATGAGAACTTGTGGGTCGTTTTCTGTGTTCACCGACACGTTGACCTTGGGCAGACGTGCTAAAGATTCATTATTGTGTAGGGAAAGAACTTATCCAAGACCGATGTGTTGCAAACTGGACGATGTGTTGGGAGACTGTCGAAGTTTTGTAAAGCTTAGGAGGAAACGCAGCTGCCAAGGCGATGACCCACAGGGGACTCCACATGAGATGCATCTAAGTTTTGTAAAGTTGAGTGAGAGCTCATCTACCACCAATGCGCTAACCCACAGGGGACGGCGCATTGGGAGATGGCTAAAGCTTAGGAGGGGACGCAGCTACCGAGGCGATGACTCACGGGGGACTCCGCGTCAGGTGCGTCTAAGCTTTGGATAGCTGAGTGAGGAGTTCATCTACCACCAGTGCGCTGACCCACAGGGGATGACGCGTTGGGAGATGGCTAAAGCTTTGTAAAGCTTAGGATGGGATGCAACTATCGAGACGATGACCAACAGGGGACTCCGCGTCAGGTGCGTCTAAGCTTTGTAAAGCTTAGTGAGAAGCTCATCTCCACCTGTGCACTGACCCACAGGGGACGACGCGTTGGGAGATGGCTAAAGCTTTGTAAAGCTTAGGAGAGGACGCAACTACCGAGGCGATGACCTACAGGGTACTCCGCGTCAGGTGTGTCTAACCTTTGTAAAGTTGAGTGAGGAGCTCATCTACCACCGGTGCGCTGACCCATAGGGGACGATGCGTTGGGAGATGGCTAAAGCTTTATAAAGCTTAGGAGGAGACGCAGCTACCGAGGCGATAACCCACAGGGGACTCCGCGTCAGGTGCATCTAAGCTTTGTAAAGCTGAGTGAGGAGCTCATCTACCACCGGTGCGCTGACCCACAGGGAATGACGCGTTGGGAGATGGCTAAAGCTTTATAAAGCTTAGAAGGGGACGCAGCTACCGAGGCAATGATCCGCAGGGGACTCCGCATCAAGTGCGTCTAAGCTTTAGAAAGCTGAGTGAGGAGCTCATCTACCACCAGTGCGCTGACGCATAGGGGACGACGCGTTGGGAGATAGCTAAAACTTTGTAAAACTTAGGAGGAGATGCGACTACCGAGGTAATGACCCACAGGGGACTTCGCGTCAGGTGCGTCTAAGCTTTGTAAAGCTGAGTGAAGAGCTCGATCTGAGGCGGGCATCTCTGATGTTAAATGATTTGACAGCTGTCGCGTATTTTCAAGGCGACAGTTGGATGCGATGCCCATTTCCAGAAAAGGCTGCTGCGGCTACTTATTGTAGATGGCTGACGATGATCGAAGCAACGCGTTTTGCATGAACGTGAAGGTCACAGCTAGATCTTAGGCGTAGATCAAATCTGGCGTTTCATTTCAACAACCTAGATTGATGAAGCAATGAATGGCCTAGATTGATTGTATTTGAATTCAACGGTGGAGATCAACTGGGAAGCTATATAAAAGGCAGGCTTGAATGTTTTTGGAGCTTTTCACTTTTGCGAAATCAAAAACCCCATTTGCTCTCAAAATCTTTGCATTTTCCGGCGATTTTCAAGCATTTTTCAACAAGAAATCCTAGTTTTCGGCGACTTACATTATTTCTTGACCATTTTCGAGCGCGGGACACTCCATTTCGAAAGTTTCAGTAAGTATTTGAAACTTTTCATTTCTGAAAATGGCTTATGAGGGTAGTGGTAGCTCGGGGAGGGCGTTGGAACTAGTGAGGTTAGATGAGCCCATTTTGGCGACCTCCTCTGAAATAGTCGAAGCGATTATTGGGAGAGGAGAACATATGGAAGAGACCAGATAGCCTAGTAGACACATCTGTGCATTGGGGGGCGTCGGATTACCCCTCTAAGCTAAATGGTGCCGACCTGGAGAGACTTAGGGCTGAATATAGGATCCTAGATAGTGTAGATCTGATCCTCCCAGAACCTGATGAGTGAACCTGCTACCCTAGGCCAAGGTGCATGGCAATCAGTGAGGCGATCCTTAGGGCTGACCTTAGGCTCCCAATCCACCCTTTCTTCTATATGGTACTTAGGTCATACGGCTTAGCTCCTACCCAATTGAACTCGATCTCCTGGAGCCAAATGGTGGGCTCCTGGATGTTGTGGAAGAAGGCGTCGCTTGGGGTAGAGATGTCTTTTTCTGTATTCCAGACCCTCTACATCTCCAAGGTAGCGGCTGGGAGATAAGACCAGGGGCTAGTACTACTTGACTTCATGGGGTTCCCACACTCCATTCGTGCTTGATCTGTCGAGCTCCTTTAAGAGTGGAAGAGCTCGTGGTACTAGGCTGCCGAGGGATGGGACACGATGGAGGGGGATCCCCTGGTGCCTCTTACGGTCCCCACGAAGTATTCAACACTTAGGGAGTACTGTGGCTCTATGTTTCTTGTTTATTCTTCTTCAGTTCGGTTCTTAACTACTCTGTTTGTTTTTGAAGGCGCACTTCCTCGATGTGAGCATTCCATCGACGACTTCAACATCATCTGCATTATCTATCAGCTACCTCCGAAGAAGAAGTCATACCACCAATTGATTAAGAAAAACATCCACTTCATGACACACGACTTGATGGCCTCTCAAGGTAAATGTCCCGAAGCGTATACCTTTCAGTACTTTCCGAACTCTTTACACTTGTACTAATTTGCTTGTTCCCTTGCAGATAACTTTAACAAGAAGCTACCTCTGAGGCTAGACTTCAAAACCATCCAAAGGATGATGGTGGAGGCGAGAGCCCTGAAGACCTCCTCATCTGCGTACAAAAAGCAGATGGAGGATCTGGTGGAGGCCAGCAAAAGACTTCAGCCTCCGACCGAGGAGGAGGTGGCGGAGGACACGG